TAATTCTGATATAACTAATACCAATTGGATCGAGGCTGAATCTTACAAGTTCACCGACATCGAGGTTCAGGAAATTTTCCACATGTTTTTTTTAGTCAGAACCTTATGCAGAATAAGGAGTTGATGGAAGGTCGAATTACCTACCATACTGTGGATCTGCCGACAAAACATTAGAATTACTAATTGACTAGTACCATAATCCTGCTATAATCTGCTTTCCCACCATATTTTTATAACGTTTTTCCCTGTATTTTTCTTTTAAACTGTGAGGTCAACACTGGGCAGGGAGTGTGTGGGGATCAAGCAGGCTAGTCATAATAGAGAAAAACAATTGGACTTGTCATTTTATATATCAGTAATATTTTATAATGAATAAAATTTATATATTTTTGAACTCCCTGATATGTGTAAATAATCGACTTAATCAATAGAAAATAAATTAATTTATGAGTGATTGAAAGTATTTCGAGTGGATTTATTACTCATAATGGAAAACGAACAAACACGTTAACTCGGAGTATTTTCCAAAAGCAAATTTTTTTATGATTGAACCAGTTTCTGTAGGACTTAAATGGTTTAGTATATTCATTAAGACCAAGTATTACATTTTCTTAAACTTTGAGGAATTTTTAAAATTAAACTACTTGTCGTAAGGCATTAATATTTCATGTTTTATGAGACCATGATACATATCGCCAAAAAAGATCCATAAAATTGGCTTACATTTTTTTTCAACAGTTAATTATAAGAAACCGGCTCGGTAGATTTTCACCTAAAACTAATCAGTATCATTCTGAACTAATATCTTTCGAACAGTTTTTGATTTTTTAAAATTGATTTGGTAGTAATAGCTTAAATGTCTACAAAAAGTCTACCTCTTCTAAATTACAAGGAAACGGCTCGACTAATCGTCGCACAAAACTGAGAAGCGATAAACATCGTCGAGATACATCAAATGCCTTTTAAATTTCTGAAATCGGTTCAGTCGTTTCTGAGAAATCGTCGATGAAAATCTAATTTTGACAAACGCCAAAGAAACGATACTAATTTTGACGAATTTTTAAAATTAAATGACTTGTCGTAGGACCGTAATAGTTTAGCCATGTAACTTAATGAGGACTATAGTTTGTCAGGTTTGTGAGACGATCTGCCGAGCAGTTTCTTTGTAATTTGAAAAAAAAGTGCTAAACTTTTCGTCCACATTTAAGCTCATTCTACCGAATCGATTTAAAAAAAAACAAAAACTGTTCGAAAGATATTAGTTGGGAATAATACTGATTAGTTTTAAGAAAATCTACCGAGCCGTTTTCTTGTAATTAACTGTTGAAAAAAAATTAAGCCGATTTTTGTGGAACTTTTTTTGATGATATATATCATGATCTTATAGAACTTACTGAAATATTACGGCCTTATGACAAGTCGTTTAATTTTAAAAATTCATCAAAGTTTGAGAAAATGAGTAGTTTTTTTGACGTTTGTTAAAATTAAAGTTAGACTATTTACTTGGTGTAACTCTAGGGTACTTGGTCTCAATGCGCATACTAAACCATTAAAGGTTTACTGGATCAATTATAACAATTATTGATTTTCAAAAATTTGTTTAGAAAATACTCGAGTTAACGTGTTCGTTCTCTTTCAATTATATGTAATAAATCATCTCGGAATATTTTTAATTATTCATAAATTAATTTATATTTTATTAATTAAGTCGATTATTTACACATATCGGAAAGTTCATGTAACTTGCCTCAAGGCAAAATACCAATACTAACTAGTTAAATGTGGGTTAAATATAATAATTTTGAATTTGGGGTAAGTATGGTTTATTTATATTGAGCTTATATTGGTTTTTTATGTAGGATAAATATTGTTTATTTATATTATTCTTATATTGGTTTTCAATATTGAGCTTATATTGGTTTTTAATGGGATTTTAATATTATATGATATTATAAGTAAAATATTGTTAAATATCTATTAATCGTGAGTTAACTCTGTTAATGATGTACGTCTGAGCCTGAAATGACATGTAGAATTATATAAATCGGCAGCTAGAGGATTGAGATGTACTTCAACTTTCAACTCTTGCTTTATAGTTTTAAGCGTGTCTCTTGATTTCTTCAGTTACAGTAGGAAGGGTAATGTCTTGATGTAGATACCAATTTGGTGTGTAAATCGGAACGTTTAAAACTTATCTTAATATTTTGTTTTGAAACCGTTTTTGCAAATTTGCAAGTTGCTTTTTTTTAGCGGAACCCCATAATTGAATACCGTAAGTCCCCACCGGTTTAAGGGCGGTTTTGCATAGTAACAGTTTATAGTCAGTTGATAATGCAGATTGCCTGTTTAGAAGCCAGTGGTATATTTTACGCAGAATTTCTAGTTGTCGTTTCTTTATTATATGGGTTCTCCAATTGAGTCTTCTGTCCAAGTGTATTCTTAGATATTTCGTAGAACCTTGGATTGGTACTGGTTCCATTCCAGTACTCCATTTAACTGGAGCGCATTGACCTTTTCGTAGAGTGAAGGTGACATGCGACGATTTTATGTTATTTATCTCAAATCTCCACAGTGGGCTTGGACATGCTCTGAAGCCTTTAAAGGATCTGCATGCGATGATATGATGCAAGTGTCGTCCGCGAAGGTAGCTGTATTTGTATGGGGATGTCTCGAAAAGTCGCTAGTGTAAAGTAAAAATAGGGCCGGACTCAAAACGCTTCCCTGCAGGACTCCCGCGTTGATTCCTTTTACGAGCGAATATGCATTGTTGTATTTGACATAGAATTTTCTGTCCATTAGGCATGATTGTAATAGCCTATAAGTAGTGTTGGGGATATGCCTTTTTATTTTGTATATTAGTCCCGTGAACAAACCTTGTCAAAATCTTGAGAGATTGCCAGGAATATTGCCGTACAGTATTCTTTGTTATGTAGTGATGAGTTTATTAAATTTAGTACACGGTGTACTTGCTGTATGGTCGAGTGCTGATCTCTGAACCTAAATTGAAGGTCTGGAAGTATATTTTTATCAATCAAAATTCTTTTAATTCTATTGAGGAGCAGTTTTTCGAAGATTTTTGATACAATAGAGAATAAGCTTATTAGCCTGTGCGCAGTTACCATTTGTGGATCTTTATCGGGCTTGGGAATTAATATGATCATTGCAGTTATCCACGATGTTAGATAAAATTGTGTCCTGATGATAAGGTTGAATAGAATTATCAGGAACATTAGCAGCTTATTTGGCTATTCTTTGAGCATCTTAATTGTTATTTCATCTGGTCCAGGTGCTTTGCCTGATTTACATACCTTGATTGCATCAGATACTTCATTCCCACTGATGTTTTTGATTGAATCATGAATTAGTGATAGTTTATTCAGAAAGTTATGAATAAATTTGTCTTCTCAATATCTATTGTACGAGGAGCTCGTTGAAAAACATTTTGCAAGTGTTCAGCAAAGACTGAAGTCTTTTCTTGTGCGCTTCTGGCCCACGATCCGCCTGGTTTTTTAATGGGAGTGTTATAGGTCTTTTGAGTTTCTTGAAAGCCTTCCATAGGAAATATTCAAAATTTCCGTTCGCTGAAAGATTGCACAGATGTTTTAATTGCTTCATTCTCATTTTGCCAGAGCATATGTTTTAATGTTTTGCATGCACAATTAAATCTTTCTTGTCTTCTGGTGATCGGGATACTTACCATATTTTGCGCAATTTTTTTTTTTGATAGCGATTTGTCTTTTAATATTTATTGAGCAGTAAAATTCGCGGCCTCTTGGTGTTGTTAATCGGAAATCCCAGGTAGTGTTCTTGGTATTGAAGTCACCTCCAGCTAAAAATTTATTACCTAACGTTTTGAAATAAGTTAAGAATTGTCCTGAAGATATAATGTACCTTGGAGAGCAGTAAATCGCTAATAACGTAAGATTTTCCATTGAGGATTCGAAGGAAACGTTTGTCGCTTCAAGAAAGTTTTAAGCGTACGGTTCTAGTTCATGCTGTTTCAAATTAGATTTGATTATGATGGCTGTTCCTCCACGCGGTCTTCGGTCAAGGTGTTCTGTGCTGTATATACGATAATTCGGAAACCGTGAAATGCATTTGTTAGTTAGGTGTGACTCTGAAATTAGCATGACGTCAATACAGTTGACTTGTCAAAAATATTTTAATTCTTGAATGTGTTGGAGTATGCTTTTGGCAAATTTTTAGATCGGTATACAATATTTGTTCTTGGTTATGATGGTGGTTAGCAAATTGAGCATAGTGCTTATTTGTTCTGTTAATGTCTTCAACGTGCTTTTGAGTTCAGATATGTCGTTTATGTTATGGTTAGTATCTAAAACAATGCTTGACGTATCCTGACCTATTTATGTATTTTCACGTGTAACTCTGGCGCATGACACTCCTGGTACTGTTGTTGCGTTTGTATTAATTCTGGTGCTGGGGACTGTTGTCCTCGGTCTTAACGGTGTGTATTTACGTTCCAATTATTGTTTGTAGATATAAAAACCCTTATAATTTGCGGGATGGTTTTGTCCACATAGTACACAATTTACATTAATGTTTATTTTGTTCGTCCAAGAACATTTTTCGGTTAAATGATCTTGGGCGCATTTTACGCAGCGGGGCGTCATGAAACAATATATACGGGTATGCTCATACCTTTGGCAATGTGTACATTGTACAATTTCTCTTGCAAATCTTTTTGCCTCGATCACCACTTTCGTGTTACACAGGAATTCTATTTTGTAAAAATCATTATTATTTGCACGTTGTTCTAATTCGACAGAAAAACGTTGAGTGGGCATTTGGTGAACTTTGTGTCCCTTTTGTTGAATTTCCCCTATCAGCATTTCGATATCGGTACTATGGTGCAGATTTTTTACAATCAGTTTAAATGACAGCTTCGATTTATCTTGGTAAGAATGCATCTGGGTATCTTTTTTTCTTAGTATATTTAAGATCTTATTGTAGGTTTGCCGTGTATCTAGATTGATTTTTACTTGAGAACTGTTTATTAATTTTAGTTTGTAAGCATTTTTGGCTTCATTCTCTAATAAATTTGTAAGTCGTTTGATGTCCTCCACTTTCTGCATAAAGATTGGTGAAGGTCTGGCTTCTGGTGTTCTTGGGGGTTCTATGGTTGGAGCATATTCCAGAACTTTGTAATAATTGCTTGTTGGCGTAGCGCTCAGCAAGTAATCTTAGGTAGTTATATTTTTAGAGAATGACGGAACTTCTGTGTCATTTGGTTTGTGCTTCTTGCCGATGTTATTCAACGATGTTTCTTTTCTGATGTTATTCAACGTACGGTAAGTGTTTATTTGATGTTGTTGCATATTGGGTAAAATATGCTTCTCGACAAACATGGAGTTTGTTGTTGAGTCATCTTAGAGTATTTCTTGTAATTTAATGATATGAAAGTTTTGAACGTTGCTTGTAAGTTCGGACGTTATCAACACAATAATTAAAACAAAAAGCCGCGCTAATTTAAATTAGAACACTGAACTAAACACAGCACTTTCATGGCAAAAATATAATAAACAGAACTGATTAAGTAATAGTAATGGTATTGTTATTGACACTATTGTGTATGGTTCTGCAAGGGGATCATGCAAATAGTCAGGTATACACTGCGGTCGGATTAAAATAAGAACAAAGGTTACTGTTTGATAATAACAACTCATGTTCACACTACCGTGTCTAGCACTCGACTCACCAATTCCAAATAAATGTTGGCAGTTGTGTAAATTTCGTGTAGATGACAACATCTCAGAGCTGATAAATCTACTGAGACACCTGAGTTTATTTGCATTAAGTCCTCTACGCCTATCCTACATGAGATGGGGACTGACTAATTCCAAAGTGGCGGACACAGCTACTGCGCAGCCGATAAAGGTACCCTTTTTCGCTAATTTCGAAACTATTTTACGACGACTGCCGCTTCGAAAATTTGAAAATATAATATTATTACTATCGGAAAATACCAATGACAGACGATTATCGTCTATATATGATATCTGACAGTCTACATGACTGAAAAAAAGATTTTACACACTAAATTCATAAATATTAAAGTATACAAACGATGACAAAAATTATTGGAATCATTTTTTTTTTTATTTAGTTTAGTATAATTACCAAATTTGTATAAAAATAAAGATATACAATACGTACATATGTATATATATACACAGATATATATATATATATATATATATATATTAGAGAGGGCTAATTTTTTGCATATTGAGGTACCTCGCTAATTTAACTTTTTACACCATTTGAAACAATATTGTAAAAAGAAGCATAACTTGCAAATGAATTTAAAGCCAGCGAAAAATTTAAAACATTTTTTAATTTAAAGAAAAAAATGAAAAATCTCATGAAAATTATATTATGACATATATCAAGTTATATATCATTTTATTCGTAATTTTATTCTGCATCTTTCGTACGAACAAAGTTTTTTCGTATCTTTTACCGTTTCGGAGAAAATCGATAAAAACTATTGAAAACTTGCATTAAAAAATCGGATTTTTTTTTAAAAAAGAAGAAAAAATAATATAACTACAAATAAATTTGTTTTATATTCATTGAGATCTATAAAAATCAATAAATACATATTTCAATACAAAAGTTAAAAAAAAAACCAAAAAAACACCTAAAAACTCAATAATTCACTATAATTCGTATTGTCCATATATATAAAACTGTTTGAACATCTAAAAAAATTTTCGAAAAAAATTTGTCTATCATAAGGGTTCGCAGTTCGAAAATTTCCCAGACTTTTGTCTTGACGATTCACACCGTAACCCGGAGCAACGCTTCGCCGCAGGTCAAATGCACATCGCTTGGGACTCGGTCTTAATACTTACGGTGTGGCCGCGCGCCTTCTATAGGGGGATAGATCGCGTCGTATGCGATGCGATCAACCTTTGGCAAAAGTTCGCGGTGTTGTTCAGGCAGTTTTGAATATTATTCCCCGGTGTATTTTATACATTATATTCGATACTTTTAGTCTGTCAACTATATAGCGGCGTTACTTTTAATAATGTCGTAGACAGTGTTTGGAATTATTTACGTCGTATATGTTTGGATGTCGGTTTACGGCCGGGTTCTGGACCTTATTTATAAGTGTTCAACCATACTGTACAGCATATCCGCGGGCATGTGTCGTTGACGCAAAGACTCTTATGCAGAAAATAAAATATACAAATGCAATCAACTCAATACTCTCCGAGCGAGAATAAAAGTGAGTTATGACGATGAATTTGCCCCGAAGTTTCAATCTAACGAAGGGTAAAGAGACTAAATAAACTGGGTCGCAGACCGCTAATGTTATATACGGACCGCCGTTTCGACGGTTGTTAAAGGTCTAGCCTCTGTGTAAGCGCAGAATTTATAAAAGTTGCCGGGTTTAGACCGTCGTGAGACAGGTTAGTTTTACCCTACTGATGAATTGTCGTTGCGATAGAATTTCTGCTTAGTACGAGAGGAACCGCAAGCTCGGACGTGGTGCAAAGCTACCATCCGTGGGTATGCCTGAACTACTCTAAGGCCATATCCTTTCTAGATAACAACGATATTTTGAGGAGTCTCGTGAGTCGAAAGAGTCAATACAATGTGATTTATTAGGTATTCGGCGCACGTTTATAGATCTAGTTCGATGTAGAGACTCGGAATCGTTTATAGACGACTTTTAGGTACCAGGCGGGATGTTGTATTTGGTAGAGCAGTTACCACGCTGCGATCTGCTGGAACACAGCCTTTGGCTTGGGGATTCGTCATGTTGGCTTGGCGTCACCCCACGCTCTTAGAGCATAAGCCTTAAGCCGTCGCATTGCAGTATGCCACAATCAGTGTGACTTGACCCTCAGAAAGTTGTACATATTGTACATGTGATACTTCTTTGGTATCTACTTAGCTATTTTGTACAACGTGCCTAAGTCAGCACGTTAGGCAAAACTTATCGGCATATTCCGATACTAGAAATATTCATTATTTCTTTAAATAACTATAAGGCTATGTAAATAGTTATAAAATTTGTGAGAGTTAACGAAGAGTATTTGTTTTTAAGAGAAACTTTTCGTATTTCTTATTATGATGAATATATGATATCTTTTAATTTAATTTAATTCTATATAAGGGAGAATGTTTTTTCAAGTCCTTGGAAATGCGTACAAGTTACCAATTAAATGAAATGCGTACAAGTTGCTAATAAGCAAAGTACGTATAAGTTATCAATAATGGAAAATGCGTGCAAGTTGTCAATGTGTAAAATACGTGCAAGTTGTTAATGTGCAAAATACGTGCAAGTTGCCATTTTTATTTAATTTTTGTAATATACTCTAAATCTATAATAAATAGTAACTCAGCTTGACCTAAAATCTTGCTACAAAACAGGTTAAAAACATTTCTCGGCTTTTTAATATCAGTAACTTACGGGCACCGCGAACTACATCAAGTAAACTTTTAGGGGACATTAGCGAAGAAGCGTAACCTAGAATCTTGCATCGAAACAGGTTAAAAACTTTTTTCGGGTACCGCAAACTACACCATGTAAGCTTTTAGGGGGCATTAGCAAAGAAGCGTAACCTAGAATCTTGCATCGAAACAGGTTAAAAACATTTCTCGGGTACCGCAAACTACATTAAGTAAACTTTTAGGGGGCATTAGTGAAGAAGTGTAACCTAGAATCTTGCATCGAAACAGGTTAAAAACATTTCTCGGGTGCCGCGAACTACGTAAAGTAAGCTTTTAGGGGGCATTAGCAAAGAAGCGTAACCTACAATCTTGCATCGAAGCAGGTTAAAAACATTTCTCGGCTTTTTGAATACGTGCAAGTTGACAATTATGTCAAATACGTGCAAGTTGACAATTATGTAAAATACGTGTAAGTTGTCAATGTACAAAATACGTGCAAGTTGCTATTTCTATTTAATTTTGTATCATACTCTAAATCAGTAATAACTTTCAATCTACAAATATTTCAAATCTTTTATAACAAAATATTCAGTATTTATACATATTATTTCGCAAAACATCCGAAAAGTTGCCACAGGGATAACTGACTTGAAGCGCGATGTATCCGAAAAGTTACCACATGGATAACTGACTTGAAGCGCGATGTATCCGAAAAGTTACCACAGGGATAACTGACTTGAAGCGCGATGTGTCCGAAAAGTTGCCACAGGGATAACTGACTTGAAATTTTGTTCTTAGCAAAGAAATATTAGAAAATCTCGAAAAAAATATATGAACACACTTAACCATTTATATATCATTTTATTTGTAATTTTATTCTGCATCTTTCGTACGAACAAAGTTTTTTCGTATCTTTTACCGTTTCGGAGGTAATCGATAAAAACTATTGAAAACTTGCATTAAAAAATCGGATTTTTTTTAAAAAAAGAAGAAAAAATAATATAACTACAAATAAAAAGTTATAAAAGTTGCCGGGTTTAGACCGTCGTGAGACAGGTTAGTTTTACCCTACTGATGAATTGTCGTTGCGATAGAATTTCTGCTTAGTACGAGAGGAACCGCAGGCTCGGACGTGGTGCAAAGCTACCATCCGTGGGTATGCCTGAACGACTCTAAGGCCATATCCTTTCTAGATAACAACGATATTTTGAGGAGTCTCGTGAGTCGAAAGACTCAATACAATGTGATTTATTAGGTATTCGGCGCACGCCGTTTATCGCACGAGCCATTTTAGCCGTTTTATAGCGGTCGATCATGGTTCACTAGTTCGATGTTGAGACTCGGAATCGTTTATAGACGACTTTTAGGTACCAGGCGGGATGTTGTATTTGGTAGAGCAGTTACCACGCTGCGATCTGCTGGAACACAGCCTTTGGCTTGGGGATTCGTCATGTTGGCTTGGCGTCACCCCACACTCTTAGAGCATAAGCCTTAAGCCGTCGCATTGCAGTATGCCACAATCAGTATGACTTGACCCTCAGAAAGTTGTACATATTGTACATGTGATACTTCTTTGGTATCTACTTAGCTATTTTGTACAACGTGCCTAAGTCAGCACGTTAGGCAAAACTTATCGGCATATTCCGATACTAGAAATATTCATTATTTCTTTAAATAACTATGAGGCTATGTAAATAGTTATAAAATTTGTGAGAGTTAACAAAGAGTATTTGTTTTTAAGAGAAACTTTTCGTATTTCTTATTATGATGAATATA